ATAGCGACGAGTCTATTAAATAATATCTTATTCTACTTAATAATAAAAATAGTGGTAGTGTTGCGTAATACTATTACGAAGGTGAGGTACTAGGATTTTGTGGGGCGCACACTGGGGTGGGGCGCACACTGGTGATACACGTTATACGAAAAAAAAGAACGTCCCCTCGACATAGGGCTGTGCACGGTCACGTTCCCCTCTGTTCGCGTCAGGCCTGCACGTAACCTACAATCCCCCGAACCACAAGATGCTTCAAAGGAACGCCCATAGAGGCGTCACGCGATATACTGCACGTTTCTGTATCTTTGAATCGGACGACTATTCATGCAGTACAACACCTCACACGCACGGCCAACAACAGCATCAGAAACAAGTGAATCATAGTAGACGGGACAAGTCTTATCCATTTTCTCTAAATCCTCCATCTCTTGCCGCTCCTGTCGCACTACCACCACAAAGTGGTTGTTGCGACAAACCTAGCTCCCATCCCATGCTTCAAAAAGGTATATGTACAAATCAAAAAGGGTTTTTTCCCTTCCAACACCAACGCTGGACAAAGACACGTCAATGCGTGTTAAGCAGATATACAAAAAAAGAAGCTCAAACTAACGAAACCCCGGAACAGGCAAACTCCGGTCTGAGGGTCAAAGGTTTCTACAGGTATGAACAAAGGAAAAATGCCGCAGTGACGGTATCAAGTTGTACAGCTCAGCTGCACAGTACGTGTTGGGTGAGTATGGGCGAGAATGGAAACTCGCAATCCGACGTGTTGCTTGGCCTTTAGCGCGACTGTCGCTTGGATTAGGATGCGCATCCTGGCTGCCACAGTTCGTTTTGTGTGGTGTAGCTCGGTGAATTGCGATTCCGCCGTGTCGTTGTTGTTTCAAAAATACGGCCGGGTTGACCATGAAAAGAACCGTTGGGGTGTCGGTTCGCCTTCTTCTTTGTCTAGTACTCGGTCCAATGGCACTTGTCGCCAACCTTTTCAAACTCCAGACTCCGGTTCATACGTCGCCTGGCGCGCTCTTCGCGGCCAAGGCAGGAGAAAAGTCGCGCGAGACCGCTGCGCTTTCGCGGCTCGAGGCCCGCGTAGGGGTTCTCTTTGCTCATCGAGCTGGTGGTAGAGATTGGACTTAGAGGAATGGTAGCATCGGCGAAGATGTCGACCCTCTTTGGTGTTTGCTTCTCCGATGTGCTCGAGTATGGCGACGATGTTTGCGACACTGACGCAGGAAATGATGTGTCGAGTGGAGACAAGAGTTCCATCTGACGGTTGGCTCGTGGAGAGCTGGGAAGACCGCTGGAAGGGTAGGAAGACATGGCGATGGAAGTAGTAGTAGCAGTAGTAATAAAGAAAGTTTAGTGGTTTATTGTTGCAAGTGTATGTGCGTGTGTGTGTGTGTGTGTGTGTGTGTGTGTGTCTGTGTATGTTGCCTGGAAGGAAAGATCGTGTGGATATATACAATTGAATCCGGGGCTTAATCGGCCGTTGGAAGAATGAAAATCAAGCCGTTGTTGGAGAACGTTGTTTGAACAATAAAGCAACCAAGGGGGGGCATATGTGTTTATGCCGATCAAGCACCTACCGCGTCCGCCGCGCAATTCCATCTCACCCAGGGGGTTGTTGCATGGTTTCTCTACGCCACGGTTCAACGCCAGGGGGGCGCGGAGGCTGGAATATCCGCGATTAGAGTTTACGTCTTTGGCCGCCGCACATCTGCTTCAAGGCAATACAAATATCCGTAGTTTCACACGTCTCTTGCTGTATGATATTTGTCTTGATATCGCGGCTCTTGTCCAGCCGCGGCCTTGTGGTTGCAGAAGATGGCAACAGACGCGCTGCAAAGCGGCGTATAGGAAGGGCGAAGCTGTCGCAGCATCTTCTGAAACTACGCCGTCTCCTTGTGGCAAGGCTAGGCCTTACTTGCTGGCTACTAAGCACCAAACCGCCCCTGTACCCGTGAGAGAGTCAGTCGTAATGTTCCTGGCAAACGAGGCACCAGGGTCATCCCATTGGTCTTTTGCGTTTGTTTTTCGGTCCTGCACTCCTTGAAACGCCATCAACGTCGCATGAGTATTGGTGAGAAACAAAAGGGCGGCCCGCTCGTCACGGGATAATTAGGGCCTTGCCTTGTTGTATTTGCTGCCTTTGCCAAAAAGACCATATCTCCGCCCTTCATGCAAAGAGCTGCAGGATTCGTGTCTGTGCATGCTACACCACATTTAGGATTTTACGCCTGACATCCAACTACTTGTGCATCTGTACATTCGCCACTTTTGCGAGCATGGTGTGGTATATCTCTTGTGTGAAATCGCCATCAAAACGCAACGCGACTTGGTCAGACACTATCAATAGGCCCGTTTGTATCCCACCAAGTGCTGACGGCCTCAGGCCGTGCTTCATAGTTGGTGCAAAGTATCAGTGTCGTCTGCTCGCCTCAGCGCCTCCCTAAAATTCGGCAGTCTCCCGTCGAGCTTATCTTGAAAGGTGTGCCGCTGTGTTGGCTGAGCGGGAGGTGTGCGATCTGGGCGGTCTTGGAGTGGGTCGCCGCATGAATGTCCAAATGAAGAAGCTTGCTTCGACAATGCCACCTATAAGTGAGATCCCATCGCGTATCTTGAAACAAATTAGTAGACTCTATGTTCAGGTTTAATAGCAGCCTTGTATGTGTGGCACTGCGAAAGCAATCGTGTCAAGTAAATTCGCAATTGAGCGCACTCAGTAATGATGTGTGTTGGTTGGTGGTTTAGCTCGTAGCAAATGCTGACTGGCGTGTCAACCAAAACCATTGGTGCGCCCTTGCAGTTTGTACACGGAGACAAAAGTGCATGGTATTTTCCTCTCGTCTCAAAATATCGTATAGAGAAAGAACAAATAAGATGTATTCAAAATTGTGGAGAGATGTCGGTGATGTCACGCTCAGTTTCGCTGGGCCCACGCCAACGCTGCTCCGCCCCGCCCAAAGATACAAGCTAGAACGGGCTTAGAAATCATCGGTTTCATGCCCTGAAAGAACTCTTGGTAAAGTCGCATAAATTAACATATCTGATCGGTTTATTATTCGGCGAATCTGTTATATTTACAGCAAGTGACAAGCCTAACTGTGGAGAATGCGTGCCATGTATACGCCCGTATATGGGGATGATTGCGGGGAGCCAAGCCAACCTGCCTGAGGCTACGTACCACCACAACCATCGTCTCGATGATAAAAATAAGACTGAACCTCGAAACAAACAAAGGCATTGTGCATTGCCACAGCCAAGTAGCGTAGTAAACAATGCGCACACTTTCGCATATCGCAACCCCAATATTCTGGTCAGATTTTCTAAATTTATACATAGAGTGTACAGGTTAGTTACGCATATCCGCAATTGCGTAAACAGCATGATGCTCTACTAATCAAAGAATCTCAGCGTCAGCCTTAGGATGGTATTTTCAGTTTTTGGTGTTTTATTCAGACAATGTTTCTTTGGTTTTCAAGAGCTTCATCTGCATATTTGATAATGTTACTCGAAGCGCGACATTGAACGATTTTGGATTTTTTTTATATTTGATCATGTCCAAGAAACCAAAACAAAGATGGCAGATGATTTCGCATTCGTACCAACACAAGGTAGTAAGAATCGACTATTCGGACGATTGAAGCGTTACGATGTTAATTCCACTCCATTACCACTGTCGTCATCATGACCACCAAGCCACTAGCCACTTCCTTCTGTCATGACGCTACTCCCCGCGAAAATGCAATTTTTAGTACCCGAATTACCCGCTTTATTACTCGCTTATGTACATTCGCGTGTAACTCAAACGAAAAAAAGGAAACAGGGAAAAAACTTGGCAACATCCAAGGGCCTAGATTCTTGAGCAAAAGCAAAAATAAAGTTGGCACTGTGTTCGATACCCAGGGCGGCGAGAGGGCGGAAATTGCTTGATTGGGGAAGAATGACGATGGATGATGATGGGTATGGGTCTTGGTATGGAAAGAACTTTGGATTCGAGTCGTCATAGTAGTAGAATCGGCCGATTTCATCGGATACGCCACCTTTTCACATGATCAGTCAAATCAAGAGTTGCTATCTTTGGTACAATTCTTTACTTTGTGGAAGTCATGAACAAGAAAACTTTATTAGAATGCTTGCCAGTTCCTAATGTTACGCTATTGGCTACGGAAAACTACATGCTTACAGACTGTGCTTCTACTATCCAATCTACTGAAGCTTATCGAGATTGACGTAAGACCATAATGTTGCGCGATCGGCATACTATCTTATTGCCAGTGCATGATATGTTAAAACTCATACTTCCTTAATAGAGATGCTGCTATGTAGTTGAGTCTACCGTACTTGCTTCTCTGGGTAGAAAACTCTAGTTCTATTGAACTTCCTAGCCAAAGTCAAGATGCCATACCATCTTCCCGCAGGTAGCCCGTGGCTATCCTATATTCGTTCCCGGGGCTTACACTGCAAGCCACAGTGATGGAGTATACTTCCCGCAGTTCCGTGCCTGAGTCAGCGGCACTTACTCCGGATATTAGAGCTGATGTTTTGATGGCTCAAGTTAGAGAACAGGATTCTTTCCTAGATTATGGCGGTTCAACCACGAGAGGCTGAACAAAGTTGATGAATCCTGTTGATGTATAAAAAAAAGCGTCGCAACCAAGAAAAGAGCTTTTGCGTGCTATGACGAAGAGTTTTATCTAGTCATAACCACATACTAGCCAAAAGACCATCATGCCGTATTGCATTACGACCTTCGATCTCTTACTGTACTACTAAAAGCTGAGTGTACCTTTCCGAACAAATCCGCCCACGAGAACGTCGCTTGTGACCTTGATTTCCACGCGCGAAAACAACCATATGATGTAGCCCCAAAGAAAACTCCAAAGACCTTGGATTCTGAAACTGCTTTGAAAGCTGTGATGTGAACTATGAACACCGCACCTACTTGCCCCATGTGCTTCTAGAGTACCTTAAGAGAGAGGGGTGGGTTGGTGTAAATGCCGAAAGATGTGACGTGGGAGGAGGAAGAAGAAGAAGAAGAAGAAGTAACGATGTCCCTGTATATAGATCAGATCTCGGTGTATTGTAAGATCAGCAACCCACCTCCACGATCGAACCTTACATCTGAGGCGAGTGGCCTCTTGCGACTGTTCAGCCTTGCCATCACCTACCTTTGGACGGATATTTAAACCACCCCATTCCTCTGCCATATTCTTCACACTCCAGCACTGCTTCGCTCCAGTACCTCTTGAGATCTCCAAGTCACCACCACTATACATTTCGACACAAGGATTGAACAAGTAAGACCAAGCTATTCTCTCCTTCTCGATCTAGCCACTAACCACATCACCAGTGCATTTCCTCACCGGACTCCTCGCAGCCGCAGCTTGCATCAGCAGCGTAGCTGCCGCCCCACAAGCTCACCAAACGTGTACCTATACCTACCGACTCCAGGAACTCGCACGCCTCCCCGGAGGATACGGCAAAGACTGGAAAAATGTGCAGTCCGGTCTCTGCGGCAAGTTCGGTGGTGGATGGGATTCAAACTCTGGCTTTTGTTCCATTTCGAAATCCTTGTCGGACAAGATTTTTCATTTTGACGTCAAGCCTGATCCTGAAAAGCAGGGTCTCAAGCCTATTACAGTGAGAGCCAAGTATCTCGATGTGTTTCCCCCAAGCTGTAAATGAGAAGGCGAGGGGCAGGTGGATTTTATGGGTGAAGATGGGTCAAGTTAGAGGGGGGAGGAGGTGGTGGGGGAAGGATTGTATATAAGGAAAATGGTTTGGTATGGTTGGCTTGTACTCCAGATCTTCTCAGCAAATTGCAAACATCTCTGCTTTCTTTCGAACTTCATTCACCTTGGTTTACTTTGAAAGATGTCATTTTTGAACATCATGGTGAAAAAAAATAATAGCAATGTAGAGGAGCCTTCTTGGACTTTCAGAGATCTTATTCGGCACTCGCCTAATAATAGAGCGCAGTCATCCCTGCATACATCAGCTGATGATAAAGTTCAGAGTAGTAAGACAGTAATCAACAAGCCGGACCACTCCGATTCAGCGAGGGAAAAAAGTTAATATGAAAGAGAATGCGTCATTTGATTCCCTTACATCCCACAAGTTCTTCGTTCATAGCGACTCCCTGAACAATCGTGTTGGGCACGCAATTGACACAAATTATATGCTCTACAAGTATATTTAATTGTCTTGCTTACCCTAAACCCGCAATCAACTGTGCAAATCGTGGGTGTTCTAAACATCTTCATCGTGTCTTGCGTCAGCCATTTGAGCAAACGTTTCATATTTCTTTTACTAAGCCATTGTAGACAAACCAGTTCCTCGCCACCATTTAGAAATCTTGAATGCATGCATGAGAATATGGTGCCGGACCCCGGATAAGCTTGGATAATGTTGTGAACTCAGGCCTTGCACAGTCTACACATTTCTGAACGGTATCCCAATCAAGAAGACATGTGAGCCTACCCTTACTACCCAAAATTACTGGGCGGCAGGAATTTTCAGTCCAAAGCAAACTTGAAGCTACAAGAACAGGACGCTAAGTAAAAAAAATTGACCTTGTTCAGTCAAAGCACGCAAGCAACAAATTCCTTGTAAACATTGAGAACTTGGTCACACAAAAAGCAAAGCGCCTAGTGTAATGCAGAGAATCTCGACCTCTATTCTATTAGCTGAGGCGTTCACTTGATTTTAAAATCAATCCAGTCGGCGTCTATTTTGGATGAAAAAAAAGGCAACTTCATACTCGCCTAGAATGCCCGTTCTTTGTCCACTGGGACTGAGATAAGGGCATAAGCAACTAGGACCTCAGGATCTGACAACCAGATCAATCAACACTGACAACAGCACTTTTCTGAGGTAACACATGTATACAGCAAAAGACCTGCCCCCTCTCCGGCGCCGTTTACGAGCTATCGGCGTCAGCACAAGTACGCCGAAAAGGAAAAGCCTGGTTAGCATGTACTATAATAACCTATCACCCGCTTACTAATGACAGAAGGAAATCTTTATCTTTGGCTATGAACCTTTGTATGAGCTGAAGCGTACGTGGTGAAAGATAAAAAAATAGCCAAAGTGGAAAAGCAACGAGGTACAAACTGAAGATTTTGAATACCTCGGCACTCGTGTATTTATTATTGTAACCAAGCCACGCTATGCTGTGCGCAAAAAAGATTAGTTTACAATGATGCAGTTTCCCGGTCTCTTTTTCGCCAACCGAGTGGTTCTCGATTCTTTTTTCCTTTCCTCCTGATGGAGATTGTATCCCTGTGAGCGACTCCCCACAAGCGACTCCCCACAGAACCAGCACCCTGGCGGCGGATCACGTCACAAAATCGATCTGAAACACCTGGTGGGGAGCTGGCCCAAGTGTGGTGGTGGGTCAATACGACCTGACGAAGGTTACTTGCTCAAGAACATGGTCTGAGCTCTGGCTCGTCGATGACGATGGATCTTTGGTTCTTCGACACCAAGTCTCTTGGTCGTAAACAAAAAAGTTTTGAAACTGAGCATGTCCAAATGTCCTCATCCTGGTTGTGCGTTGGCTATACCTGCTTGGTAAGCGCCAGCAAAATCAAGCTGACCCAGTTGTCCGTTGATTTGGTCAATCTCCCTGTTCAAATCGTCCAAGTTCTGCACCAGACTTGACACTTCGTCAAATCTACGATGTTTGGTGGCGTCAGAGACCATCTCTGATACCATGAACTTCTGTTCTTCAAGCACAATCAATCGTTCTCTGAGCTCTTTCTCCTCTGACTCCATGGCTGATACTTCGCTGCTACTAACGACACTACCGGTAGAGCGGTCGTTGTACTTGATCGAGGCCAAGGCGCTGCCTCCGTTTGGACGTCCTTGAGGAGCGGCGTGTTTGAGAATCTTGGGAAGTGACCTTAAGGGTAGCATGTGCAGGCTCAGGAAGCTGTAGGCTTGTTGATATACGGCCCTTTGTAGTTTTTGCTGCGTGGGGGAGTCGGTCGGCAGGTCGCGTATCCGTTTAGCGGCAACATCAAACTGAGCAAATCCGTCCATAAGCCTTTTGCGGACCTTTGTAGCATCGGTCAGTTGCTGGGGTGTAGGTGACTTGTCTGGATCCTGTAGCGCTTGCAGAAGCTTATGGAAACGAGGGAGAAGCAGCCGAATTCCCCTTTCGAACTGGGCAAGGTTTTCGTATGCGCGCTGGTCCTTGGGCTTGTTGGCGAGTTCTCGCTCAAAGTCGCTTCTAGCAAACAAAGTGTGTTGGCAGTCCTTGCACATGCGCACGTCAATGCTCACCTGCCCTCCCTCTTTTTCTATATTTTGAACACCAGACGAGGCAACATTCAAGCCAACCTGTGTTGAACACGCAGTCTTGGGATCGCTACAGACGACGCGACCGCACATGCGACAGTGCGATCGTCTAAATGTATATGTCGAAAACTCCTGCTGGCAAAAGGGGCAGTTTGAGACTTTTGCGTCTTCTTCCCAGGTAATGATGGACTGCTCGAGAGCCTTGCGCTGATTCTTGGCGCTGGGCAGCGCGAACCAGCTGCCTGAGGCGGGAGTGTCGTCTAACGGCGGCGGGTTTGCGAGGAGCTGTGTAAGTTTGGTTAGGCGCTTCTCTAGACGGCTGACCTCCATGCGCTCCCTGTCTACGTGTTTTTGTCTGATCTTTGCGAACTCGTCGAAATGATTGCGCTCCAGGCCGCGGTGGTCATTGTATCCAGCTCTTGACTTGTAGCATGTCTCGCAGACACGGCACCAGATGCCTCGCACGGGGTCATGTTTGGCCTGGCGCGACAATTTCATCTGATACATAGTGTGCTCTTCGCAGAACAATCTACCACATTGCCTGCAGTTGACGGCGGGCTGACCTCCGCCGAGGGTCATTGGCGAGGCTGTAATGGGGCGGGCGCAGAGGGGATCTGCGCAGACATCGCGGTATGCGGGTCTCTGCCAGTGCGCGCGGGTAACGTCCTCATCTGGGTCTCGGCGGACGGGGGCGGGCTCGTAGGCAGCGGCATGGGCGGTGGAGCTGGAGGCCGAGTGGGAGGCGTGGTGGGGGGTCTGGGGGGCGTCGTTGGACTCGAAGACATCGAGGCCTTTGAGTTTCTGGTTGAGGACAGCGAGGGGCTGGAACTTCTTGGCCTTGTGCATTTGCGCCTCGAACCAATTCTTGACCTCGTCCTGCTCCTCGACAACTAGGTTCTGGTGTGTGTCGTCGAGGTGTCTAGTAATTCATCGTCAGGGCTGATCGGATAGAGAGGCGGCATACGTCGAGTACCTGTTAAGCTGCAGCAGCGTGACCTGGACGGTTAGCTGGGCGTTTGGTGGGTCGGCGCTGGGGGATGTACCATTTCGTCGCTGCAGATGGGGCAGATGAGCCTGGTCGAGGCACTGGCTTGGGGCGAGGGCGTGCTGGCGGCGGCGAGCACTCTGCTGCCAATGTCATCTCTGGGCTCAGCCGTGGTGGCAGGGCTGTTGGACGTCTGGGAGCTCAGCGATACGGAGCTCTCAGAAGGCGAGAGGAGTAGGTTGGGAGTGGCCGTGATAGTCGTGGCGGCGGCGGGCGACAGGTTTCTCCCGCTCCCCAGCACGCGGCCGCCGCCCAAGGACCTGCGCGAGGCCATGATGGCGAGTGTTGAGGAGAGGCGCCGTCGGGGGGCATGTGGCGTTGAAGGCGGAGTGGGAGTGGAGTGGAGTGGAGTGATGAAGTGGAGTGTATGGCCACTGCGCGCTAGTAGGAGTAATGCATGCCTGCTCCGCCGTCATCCATCCCATCTCCGCGTTGCGCCCCGTCGTCTCCGCAACACCGCAACCGCACCGCATCATGAAAGGCCCTTACCCCGAGATCCAGGGCGGTGGCTCGCTGATCCTGGCCTGGCAGATCCGCAACAAACGCGTATTGGTCGTCGGCGGCGGCGAGGTGAGTGCTGTCATGTATTGACGACCTGCCAATCTATGTATTGACGATTGACACAAAGTCAAGGTTGCTGCTGGGCGCATCGTCAACGTTCTAAACGCCGACGCCAAAATCACCGTCGTCTCCCCCCGCGAAGGCCTCAACGACGAGGTCGCCTATCGCATCGACCAGGGCCAAGTCGATTATGTCGACCGCAAGTTCGAGCCCTCGGATCTCGACGGTGTTGACATGGTCTTGACTGCCGTGGATGACCCAGAAGCCTCGTCGCAGATCTACAAGCTGTGCAAGGAGAGGCGCATAGCTGCAAACATTGCAGACGTCCCTCCTGAATGTGACTTTTACTTTGGCAGCGTCCACCGCGACGGGCCTCTGCAAATCATGGTCAGCACCAATGGCAACGGGCCCAAGCTCGCAAACATTGTTAGGAGACAGATCGCCGCCGGCCTCCCTCACAACATTGGCAATGCCGTCCAGAGAGTCGGCATGCTGCGAAAGAAGCTCAGAAAGGTTGCGCCTGCTATAGAAGAAGGCCCTAAGCGCATGCAGTGGTACGTGACTTGACCTGCCTGACCCCCAGTCCGTCTTTTTGCTTACCCAGTCCCGTTACAGGATGTCCAAAGTCTGCGAGCAATACTCACTTGACGACCTCTGCGCTATGACCGAAGAGGATATGGAGATGCTGTTGGGCTTCTACAAACCAGGCACTGTTCCCTCGCTCGAAGCAGTCCGCCTACAAGAGCCAGACGGAGCCTACGATGGACCTTTTCTGATATGATGGTATTCGGCACGGCGTTTGGTAGACAGTGGTAGGTGCACATACGGGTTGCGGCAACGCTATTCTCATATTCTTGTATATCAATTGTAGAGTGTCTGGTACTAAGGATTATTTTCCCCCAAATTACTCCATCACCAAAGTCACCACCAATCAGGCCGGATTGGTCCGTGCACCGCACACCCAACTTTGCTCTTCGCATGTCTCACATGCTCGACTCCATTACTGCACTCACTGGCACATTTACCTATCCCCAGTACCAATGCTCCTCGAGCAACGGCCCCCGTATGATACGGTCGACTTCAAAGCGCTTGCCAAAACCGACAATGACTTTAAGCAGATATGGCAGCGCGCCTCAGGCAAGCTCGACTTTCAAGATCCACACACTGTTCAAGCCTTATCCAAAGCAATTCTGAAATCAGACTTTGGCCTTGAGCTTGACGTTCCGAATGACCGCCTCTGCCCACCAATACCGAATCGCTGGAACTATGTCGCCTGGATACAAGGCCTGGTCGACTCTACAACTTCAGACTACTCAAACAAATATGACCCCAACCGCCACGTACAGGGACTAGATATAGGAACTGGCGCATCTGCCATATACACCATGCTATGTCTGCGATCGCGCCCAAATTGGTCCATGTGCGCTACCGACATTGATAAAAAGAGTTTTGACTCAGCCGCCCGCAATCTTGCTCTCAACAACTTAATGACACGCACAAAGCTCCTTCAAACCACTGCTCTCACCCCTCTAATCCCACTGGTTGCCCTTGGAGTCACCCATCTTGACTTTACAATATGCAACCCACCCTTTTTCGCAAGCCCTTCTGAAATGCGATCCAGTCTCGCAGGTGAGGGCAAGAGCAGCAAACCCAACGCCATCTGTACCGGGTCTGAAAACGAAATGGTATCCCCCGGTGGCGATGTTCGTTTTGTGACTGCTATTGTCAACGAGAGTTTGGTGCTTCGAGAAAAGGTCCAATGGTATAGCAGTTTATTTGGTAAAATGGACAGTGCAAAAGCTATCATCCGCCTGTTAAAACAGCATGGAATTACTAACTGGGCCGTGGGCGTGATTGAGGCGGGAGCAAGCAGTACGAAGCGATGGATTGTAGCATGGAGTTTTGGGGATTTGCGACCGAGAAATGTATGTCTCTCCCCAACCTTTACTATACAACTATTACATCTTTCTTCTACCATTCATTCTATTGCAAAACCTACCAAAAAAGCTGATGCTAAACCTTCCACAGAGTCATGCCCGCATAGAAAAGATGGCAAACGAATATCTTCCTTTCCCAACAAGCTATCCCATCACCTTACCTCCCTCTATCGATCCCCAGCAAGCCAAAGACGCCATCACCGCTCAAATGGCTTCACTTGATCTTGTTAGCTGGAACTGGGACTCCTCCACGTGTATTGGCATCGGTGAGGCGGCGCAAAACGTGTGGAGTCGATCTTACAGACGCATGTACGAAAAAAGAGTGAGGGAAGGGAGTGGTGTTGATGAGATGCAAGGGACCGAAGAAGAGGGCGGAAGGAAGCAAGTTAAGCTGGCGTTTAGAATCAGGATTGTCGACTTGGCAAGGGAGGTGGTAGTGGAGTGGGTCAAGGGAAGGGACCAGGTCTTGTGGGAGAGCTTGTGTGGGCTTGTGCATAGGCATTTTAAGAAGACGTGAGGCACCGATACGGTGTAATTTGTCCCTTTATTTCACAATGCTTAGCACATATGGTGTCCATTCGTTCATTAATATCCTCAGCTAATTTCCGATGATCAACCTCTACTGACCTTCTACATCAACCAGGTCAAGTTCGAATGGAACCCTTCTCCCTAGACCACTTCAACCTACCCATTTCCCTCATCCCTCCTCCCACTCCTCAAACAATCGGCTCACTCCAAAACATATCCTTCCCCATCTCCTCCGCCATACCCTTAGCTACCGGCGCCACATCTCCCTCCCCCTTCCTCCCCCCACAAAGCGTAGTCTCCTGAGCCATATCTTCATTCCTTCCTTTTCCTCCACGTCTCATCACAGGGCCCCCACCCACTTCTCCCCTCGCAGCCCGATTAACCCGATGCAACATCCCACCATGCAAATCACCCTTCAACTCCTCGACGCGATCTACATCCTCTGTTGTAAACCGGAACGTCGTCCATTCGTGCACTTTGGCTTCTAGACCGGGTGGTGCGCGGCCTTGCGGAGTGATGACGGGGACTGCAGGATGGCGGTGGAGTAGGGCTGTGTCGCGATCGGAAGGTGCGGCGGTGTCGCGGTCGAAGCGGGTGGCGCCTAGGTCGTGGAGTTCGGTGGTGGGGGTGAAGGGCTTGGTGGTGTTGGAGGACATCTTTTGGGGGATGATGTTGGGTGAGTTGATGGATAGCCTCTCTTTCTTTGAGGATTCGAAGAGTTTGGTTTGGTTCGAGAGGTGTAGACGAAAGGAGATATATGATTAATGTGTGGGTGTGGAGCTGGGAGTTGGTGGAATAGGCGAGGAAAGAGCGGTTTGGTGAGTGAGTCTGAGTTGTTTGTTTGGACTTTACTGCGTTGTCATTGTTATAATAGGATGCGTTTTGGTAGGATGGGGTAAAGGCATGTTTCCATGGTCAGACCGGTGAGAGTAAAATGGGAACAATAGTCACATTGTTGGGGACAGTTGAAAAGTATCAATGAGAGAAAAGAGCACTGCATGTGATCTCAACACATGCTAACTAACAGATGTCGATACTGCTTCTTTACATAACCACTCGTAAATCAAGCCCATATATAGCACCTAAGCACACCCACCATGATTCTCCCCGTCCTCCCACTCTAGCGCCCTCCGCCACTCCTCAGCCCTCCGCAGCTGCATCCTCATATTCTCCACCACACCCGACTCCTCTCTCACCCACCTCTCATACCCTGCCCACTCCCCCTCACCCACCTTCTTCGCAGTCGCCACGCTCCTCCCCGCAGGACACGCATTGAATCCGCCTCCACCCTCCACCCATACCTGCAGCAGCCCCGAGCAAAAAATTTCCGCAATAGCAGCCTGGCCACTCCGAAACAGCAAAAAGATGACATATCCGTGCATGCTGAACTGCTGCTCGAACACCCCAATGCGATGCAGATAGCTGCATATGTCCTCGACCAGATTCATAATGTAGTTGGACGACTGCCGCAGCCTGTGCTGGCGGAGTCGACAGTGCGAGTGCCGCGAGTATCCGACTTCAGCGGGGGGATAGGGAAAAGGTGTGTTGCGCAGGGAAGCAGGGGTGTCGAGCCAGCGTTGGTGGGCGGCGGTACAGAAACGGTGGAGGGCTTCTGAGCGCTTTGCTGAGCGAGATTTGGTAGTTGTACTGTGAAGGTACTTGCGGTGGCCGTTGTTGGAGGAGTCCTGTGGCACGGGGGGATGCGTCATGTTGTCTATGTGCCATGGATGCTGTGAGACGATGTTCTCGGCCAGGTAGTCCCGCACCATGTTGCTGATGGTGAGGTACTGGTTCGGTGTTGGTGGTGTGCCCTGGGTGTCCGTTAGAAAGTGAGCGTAGATGGAAGGTTGGTAGTGGGCTCGGTCTGAGAGGGCTGTGTATTCGCTTTGGAGCTCTGAGTCGGTTAGAAGTTGAGAGGATAGATTCCCGGCTATGGCGGCTCTAAAGACTGGAGATGCTGAGGCGAGAATCAGTGCACATTCACGCATGTGTTGGATCATGTTCGTCGTGTCGATTACGGTGCTGTTTGTGTATTTGGGAAGCTCTTGCTCCAGCACTTCAGTAATCAGGGGTTGGTGATGGTGTGAGTAGAGAAGGTGGTTTCTTCTTTGCCTCTGGTCAGCGAGAGGTTCGACTCTTGTTTGTGGCATTTGGATAGATTGGTGATTGGGTCCTGGAATAAGAGTATTGGTTCTGGTTGTTTGCATTGAATGTGTATGGCTGGTTTGTCCAGTATTCAGAGACCTGCACAGTATGAAAGAGAGTGTTTACAACCTTTCAAGCATTGGGGAGTTTAATCAGCCATTATGTATACATTTTATCGTTACACAGATTGGAGATATGTGACAGTTCAAACGCTTTTTAACACATTTTATTCAAGAGGTAGCTTGGAGAAACAAAAATATTGAATAGAGGCTTCGGCATCTGCATAGATTTTGACCGTTACCACATGAGTCATGAGTATTCAAAGATAGGAAGGAGACATCTCTCAGTGAATATAGAATACGTAGCACGTCCCAGCGTGCTAGCGTCCTGGTGGTCGCAACAAGCAATCTTCGGTCAAAACTCGGATTTTATTGTCACGCTCGTGATGCGGGAGTCAGTCTCTGCTGACCTAGATATAATTCAGACAGATGTCGATGCACTAAATGTAAAGGAACAGTAACAAAAGAGCAGGACGTAAGAATACCGGTCAAGTGTGGCGTTTGTGGCTGGTGAGGCTACCACTAGTGTGTTTGACTCAAGTGCCCCTCCAGAGCATTGATAGAGCCCCTCCAAGCTGCACACGAGCTGCATCGTAGCCAACACACCACTTAGCAGGTAAGTTACAACACTTGACGCAGATTTCTAAGTACCAACCAGTATCAACATTGGTGAAAATTCTCTGAAAACATTCCGAGCATATCTTTTCGACACTAGCAAAGATCTGACATCGCGCAGACATGTCTGAACCCTCAGCTACAGCACCCCCGCCCAACGAGGAGGAGAAGGGCCCCTCCAAGCGTGCCCTTGAAAAAGCCGCGAAAAAGGCTGCTGCAAAGGCAAAAAAGGCCGAGCATGCCCTGCGACCCAAAGAGCAGGCAAAGCCTAGCGCAAAGAGCGAGCCGACCAGTATCTTCTCCGAAGGCTGGCTGAAGCGCATTTACGAAGAGAAGCCTGTCGCAGAAGTCCGCACTCGTTTCCCACCCGAGCCAAATGGATTCCTTCACATTGGACACGCAAAGGCAATTGCAGTAGACTTTGGTTTCGCAAAGCACCACAATGGCAAGTGCTATCTGCGCTACGATGACACCAACCCCGAGAAGGAAGATGAGATCTATTTCACGGCAATCCTGGACGTTGTCAAGTGGCTAGGATTCGAGCCTTGGAAGATCACCTACAGTAGCGACAATTTCGACAAGCTGTACGAGCTGGCAGAACAGCTAATCAACAAAGATGGCGCATATGTCTGCCACTGTTCTCGTAGGTCTAGCCACAAATATCTGAACGTCCCAGATCTGACCAGCATACAGGAGAGGAAATCAACAACCAGCGTGGCGGACCCGACAACCGCGGCAAACGCTATGCTTGTGCCCACCGCACGCGACCCATTGAAGAGTCCATCACCGAATTCCAAGCAATGCGCGACGGCAAATACAAGGCTGGAGAGGCATTCCTCCGAATGAAGCAAAAGTTGACGGATCCAGACGAGGGCAACCCGCAGATGTGGGATCTTCCAGCCTACCGCGTTGTAAAGGAAAATTACCACCACAGGACAGGCGACAAGTGGAGAATCTACCCTACATACGACTTTACCCACTGTATCTGTGATGCTCTGGAAGGCATTACCCATTCCATGTGTACTGTCGAATTCCGCCAGTCCCGTGTTTCTTACGACTGGCTGCTGGAGCAACTGGACATGAAGATCCCTAAGTCGGAAGAGAAGGGACCCATGCAAAGAGAGTGAGTGTGCTTATTGCTCTCTGAGTTTCGTGTTACTAAGAACAGCAGATTTGGCCGTCTCAGCGTCGGCGGTACGATTTTGTCGAAGCGACGCATCCTTCAGCTCGTCGAGGGAACAGAATTCGAAAAGAAGAATGCCGATGGCACAGTTGAGACAAAGAAGATCCCACCAGCGGTGCGAGGGTGGGATGATCCTCGCCTCTTTACCATGGTCGCTCTCCGTCGCCGCGGTATTCCAGCCAAGGCTATGCTCAACTTTGTCGACGAGCTCGGTGTCACAGATGCACTCTCTGAAATTGAGCCTCCGCGTTTCGAAGCCTCCATTAGGAAGCATCTGGAGCGGACTGTGCCGCGCCAGATGCTGGTACTTGATCCCATCAAAGTCACCATCGAAGACTTTGCTGCCGAGGACGAGCAGGAGCTTACTGTGCCATACGACCCAAAGGGCACGATTCCAGGAGAGCGAAAAGTCAAGGTTGGCAATGCAGTCTACATAGATCGCACTGACTTCAGAGAGGAAGATAGTGCAGACTACTTCCGTCTGGCACCCAACAAGGCTGTTGGTTTGTACAATGTGCCATTTCCGATTCGCGCTACATCCTTCTCCAAAGACGAAAATGGCAATGTCACCGAGATCAAAGCAGTCAAAGCCCCAGTCGCTGAGAAGCCAAAAGCGTACATTCAGTGGGTGGATGCAGCAACTGCTGTGCCTGTCACTGCACGTCTGTATAACTCGCTCTTCAAGACCGAGTCACCAAATACGTTAGACTGGAAAACGGGAGGCTGGGCGGACGATCTTAACCCGAACTCCGAGATCATCTACAGTAAGGCTGTCATCGAGAAGGGCATCAGGAACCTCATCAGTGAGACATCATTAGATTTGAGCGGTTCTTCCGACGCTCTTGTCCGTTTCCAGGCCCTGCGCACGGCCTACTTCTGTGTTGACATCGATTCGACGGAGAATAATATTGTGCTCAATCAGATTGTGAGTCTTAGAGAAGACAAGGGAAAATAAGATTCTAGGACCTCCTGTTTAAATATAGATTAGAGCTTCGAGCGCAGTGGGCGTGTAATCAGGGGGCGCTGCGAGAGTGAAAGGAATAGCTCCACTGCTTAGTGTGCCTGTCTTTCGATGCTGTTGGTTAGGAACTACCACACTGTTGCCTCCACATCCTCTTCCTTGTATCTCTTGGCAAATCAAGTCATCTCTAGAGATTAGTATACATTTGCAACGCTGCTTCAACTTCAGCGTATATCCACAAGTGTGTGGGGGCCAAATGGGGGTGGCGGTATCATTGGCTTGATACCGCTGCTAGCTCTGCTGCGTCAGCTTGGCCACCCGCTTCAACGCCTGTCTACAGCCGTCCGGCCATTTCCCAGATTGCTGTTTAACGGAATATTTTTCCCAGAAAAGGCTCAGTTCCGCAAAAGTGGTGCCATCATTCGTGACCAGTTGAACTGCATCACCATCAGTCATGTTGTCCAGCTGCGCGCATCACGCTATTTCATGGAAAGGTGCTAAAATGTATTCGGATACACGATGCAGACATTGAAGTTAGTTGACACAAGTCGCAGACTTTCTTTTAACAAGAAAAACTCGGAAAAAGACTGTCATTTAGGATACTCCCTCTTTGACTTGAATCGTCACCTATAGTTCCGCGAGTGGGCGAAATTTGGATTCGGGTCGTTCCGAGGCTACATTATGCATTTAGACTATTCTCCAATCACAAGACAACTTACACGCCGTTCAAGCCCACCCCGCTGCCATAATCAACCGGATGTTTAGATAATCCATTGTTGCCACGAACACGACCCGTCTCTCATCATCACCGATGATTCTGGTCGGAAATATTAGATCCAAATTTTCGCGCATCATCCTGGTCAAGGGAGCGATTAGACATCGACTGAAAGCAGTCGCCTTAGTGACAATATCCACACCGTTTTTACCTTACAATATTCGTTGTACCCTGGGCTATGCCTTTCCTTGTAGCTGGATAGGGTATCGACTTCCATGATGATAGACGCACCAAATCAGTCAAACAGTATCTCGAATCCGGCCAGCCCTTCCTCACCGCCAGACCAGCCGCCGGAAAGAGATAGTTCAGTCGCAACCATGGCCCGGCAATACGAGTTCTTCGTGACGACGACAAAGCCACATCTCCCAAACGGAGCCGAACGGGGCATGATCCGTCGACTAGTTATGCGCAACTTCTTCGATACGAAAACACCTATGCCGCAGATGGATATTCCAGAGCAAAGCTCAGCAACTACTGTCATGGCAAGAAACCAACTAAGTAATCGGTTTCGAATCCAAAGATCAACACACGACAATGCAACAAAAGGCGGAAAACTAATGTTAAGGAATGGAAAAGGCAGAAGCAAGGGAAAGAGACGTTTGTCGCCTATAGGGACGACAGAGGCCTATTCCATGGATCAAATAACAAGAAAAGGATACTATATGGAAAAAGATGCAAAAGAAAGATCGAGAGAGGGAACAGTCGAATCGGTACTGAAGATTCCCAAGTTACGGATAGATCCAAGCGCTCACCGTATCGATCCTTTTGACATCTTGCCGATACCTGGGACACGACATTTTGATATGTTATTTCAGCTATGTACGTGTGACTTAAAATACGGACTCCTTGCAAGTGAATTTCTATGCTGATATTTCCTCAGATAAAAGTGCGCCTAAAACTAATTCCATTGCGATTGACGCAAAGAACACATGGCCAGCCTGGGCCATCCATGACGCTGGCCTCTTACACGCTACGTTAGCAACGTGGGCGATATACGGTGTGCTCGCAAAAGGCCTCACCGAGCTACATTGCTGTCATCTCAAGCACAAAAGTGACGCAATCAACGCTATTAGTTCAAAGCTCACGGAGCCTGATGGAGTCGTCTCAGACAAGGTCATTGGCACTGTCTTGACACTTGCAAATTTTGAGGTTAGACCCTATCTTCAGTCTTGGTCACGGCACGTCTGCTGACTATAGTTAGAATCTTTTCGGAGCATACGATACCGCTCAAATGCATTTAATGGCTCTAAATCAAATGTTGACTGCGAGGGGAGGTTTATTCGCGATAGGGCACAACGATGGTTTGCTGCGCGGCATTTTATGGTGAGCTCCCAGTACATAAGAGAATCGATCTCTTTGCTGAGACGTACATCGCTAGGACAGATTTCCATACCGCTGCTGCTTTCCGGACACCACCTTCATTCCCGCTTGTGTGCCTTGATCCAGATGCACCTCTACTTCCCGACGAACTCATGGAAGAAGCGGCGTACAAATCACCCACATCACCGCTTCAGTTGTCACTTGCTGCGACAGAGTGTTTCAATATCTTTTACCGGTTACACCGAATCGCCCTGGCCATGTCCTCGCATTGGTCGGGAAAGGTCTCCCGACTTACGCTAAGCAACCTCCTCTACCATATGCAACACATTGTTCTCTCTGTCCCTGATCGATCGCGTAACTTTATAGAGTTTGACAGAGAAGTCCAAGCCGGCAGGAATGAGGGCGAAGAGGACCAAAGGAAGAGGGCAGACGCAGCAAGTGTGGTCGAGGGTCTTCTTGCTGCAACTCTCATCTTTGTGTATAGTGCCTTGCGGGGACTACCGAACAATGCAAAAATATTTTCCATTCTCCTGGGTCGGCTGCGCATTGCCATCGATCGGCCCGGAACTTCAGTCGTAGAGGTATGGGGGCGCGAAAAGAACCTGAAGATGCTAGTCTGGGTGCTGGTGGTGGCATGTTCTATTGTAACATCGGATGAAGATCGCGCTTGGTGGATTTCGAAGCTTTCTGACGTGTGTGGTATACTGGGGATTGAACGCCAGGTTGAGCTGGAAGATGCCATGCAACATATAGCCTGGATTGATATATTTTTCAATCGTAAACTAGAGAGGATATGGGATGATATCACGCGGTAGTTAATTACAATAAAAAACATGTTAGTTGGAGCTTCCAAGGAAGACACGCAGGGCACATTCAAGGTTGAGCAAAGACATATCGGAGGAGGATAGACAAATGGTGTATCTAATAACCGTGATGTGTAGAAGATAGTGGCGCTGTTGGCTCTTCTGTAAATCTCCAATCAAAGCATCCTGTTATATCTGTGTCAAGTAATTTTGAATGCACAAAGAGTATTAACAGCAGGGTGCGTTTCGCGCTAGTCCTCATCCGGCGTCTAGTGGTGAAGTTCCCCGACACGTGGGTCGGGAAAACTAGTGCCGACGCCTACGCGATGGCGATTGCGGCGGGCATTAAACTCGGATTTGAAAGACTGACGTTCGTTTGAACACGACACCACCAACGATGGCGCCGCTTGTCGACAACCCCCAGATCAAGCAGGCCAGCCTGCACAACCCGCTGCCATTGCAGCTGCATACCTATATCTGGCCCTTTCTGATAATATGGCCAGCCTTCTCGGCCATATACTTTTCGCCCCAGCGCTATGAACAGTACATTCAGTCGTCGGAATGGACTTTTGTCTGGATTGCCACCATCACCACATTCCAGTCGCTGTTCTGGCTCATGACGCACTGGAATGTTAACCTCAAGAGCGCTTTCACCACCACCTCGGCCAGCGACGTGCGCAGCGCCCAGCTTATTAAAGTGCAGCCCATCAAGAACGCCGGCGCTGCCGAGATTGTCAATTTGGTTCGCGACAACGTTGGCGGGAAACCCAACATCTCCTTCCTCTTCCAAAAGCGACGTTTCCTCTACGACGCCGACAAGGGCTCCTTCGCCCCACTCGCTTACGCCCTCGATACTGAGCCCAAGCCGCAGCTCAAGACGTTCCAGCAGGCACAGGGCCTCACCTCCCCCGCCGAGATCGAGCGCCTGCAGCAGCACTATGGCGACAATGCATTCGATATCCCCGTCCCCACATTTACCGAGCTGTTCAAGGAGCACGCTGTCGCCCCTTTCTTCGTCTTTCAGGTTTTCTGCGTTGGGTTGTGGATGCTCGATGAATACTGGTACTACTCCCTCTTCACACTCTTCATGCTGGTCGTTTTCGAGAGTACTGTTGTGTGGCAGAGACAGAGAACACTGAATGAGTTCCGCGGCATGAGCATCAAGCCTTATGAGATTTTGGCATACAGACAGAAACAATGGCAGGAGATTATGAGCGACAAGCTGCTTCCGGGCGATGTTGTCAGCGTTGGCAGGACCAAGGAAGACTCTGGCGTCGCATGCGACATGCTCCTACTTGAGGGCTCAGCTATCGTTAACGAGGCTATGCTGTCAGGAGAGAGTACTCCAGTGCTCAAGGAATCGGTACAACTCCGACCAGGCGATGCGCGCATTGAGCCCGAGGGTCTGGACAAGAACTCGTTCCTCTGGGGTGGCACCAAGGTTCTTCAAGTCTCACATGGAAGCAATGTTGAGGAAGATGGCGCTGTTGTCCCCAAACTTGCATCTGGCGTCCCCCCACCCCCGGACAAGGGCGCTGTTGCTGTCGTTGTAAAGACTGGATTCGAAACCAACCAAGGAAGCCTTGTCAGGACCATGATCTTCGCTACCGAGCGTGTATCCGCCAACAATGTCGAAGCCCTCTTCTTCATCCTCTTCCTTACCGTCTTCGCTGTCGCCGCTTCGTGGTATGTATGGCAAGAGGGTGTCAGACTAGACCGTCAGCGCAACAAGCTCCTCCTCGACTGTGTTCTTATTGTTACGAGCGTCGTCCCTCCGGAACTTCCCATGGAACTCAGTTTGGCGGTTAATACTTCCCTTGCTGCCCTTAGCAAGTATGCCATCTTTTGTACCGAGCCATTCCGTATTCCCTTTGCTGGCCAGGTTGACGTAGCTTGCTTTGACAAGACCGGTACTCTGACTGGTGAGGATCTGGTTGTTGATGGTATTGCTGGACTATCCCTAGGACAGACTGGTGCTACAGTCGCGCCAGATGGCGCGCACACAGATCTCGCAAGGGTTACGGATGTTGGTACTGAGACTACATTGGTGCTTGCCTCTGCTCACGCTCTGGTAAAACTTGATGATGGCGAGACCGTGGGCGAACCCATGGAAAAGGCCACTCTTCAATCCCTTGGCTGGAAGCTTGGAGCCAAAGATACCCTTCAAGCGACAACCACTACCGCCAGATCTCACGCCGAGCTTGTTCAAATTCGCCGTCGTTTCCAATTCTCATCCGCCCTAAAGCGCCAGAGTTCCGTAGCTACCGTCCTCGTCAACAATAACAAAACTGGACGTAAGGTTAAGAGCACAATCGCTGCAGTCAAGGGTGCGCCCGAGACCATCCGTAAGATGTTGGTCAACACACCCCCACACTACGAGGAAACCTTCAAACACTTTACCCGTAACGGTGGCCGTGTACTGGCCCTAGCATACAAGTTCCTATCTGATGATGGAGAGTGGGGCCAGAATCGCATCAACGACCTCAAGCGTGAGCAGGTTGAATCTGACCTGCACTTTGCCGGCTTCCTTGTACTTCAATGTCCTCTCAAGCCTGACGCTATAGAGGCTGTCCGCTCCCTGAACGAGTCCAGCCACCGTGTTGTCATGATCACTGGTGACAATCCCCTTACTGCTGTCCACGTCGCTAAGCAGGTTGAGATCGTTGATCGCGAATGCTATATCCTTGACGCACCTGAAAACGACGATTCTGGCGAGAAGCTTGTCTGGCGTAGCGTCGACGACAAGCTCAGTATTCCTGTTGACCCGACTAAGCCGCTGGATGCCGAGATCTTGAAAACCAAAGATATCTGTCTCACTGGATATGCGCTCTCTAAATTCACCGGTCAGCCTGGATGGAACCAAATCCTGCGATACACCTGGGTTTACGCTCGTGTTTCACCGAAGCAAAAGGAGGAGATTCTTCTTGGCCTCAAGGATCGTGGTTACACTACTCTTATGGCTGGTGACGGTACCAATGATGTCGGTGCTTTGAAGCAGGCTCATATTGGTGTTGCTCTTCTCAACGGTACCCGTGAGGATCTCGACAAGATCGGTGAACACTTCCGCAACACGCAGATGAAGAACGTCTACGAGAAGCAGTGCAATCTTATGCAGCGCTTCAACCAGCCTCAACCTCCTGTCCCGATCATGATTGCTCATCTATACCCGCCAGGCCCGACCAACCCGCATTACGAGAAGGCAATGGAGGCTCAAGCCAAGAAGAAGGGTCTACTCCCTGCCGCCAACGGATCCGCTCCAACTGAACAGCCTGGTCAGGTCCAACCTGCTCAAACTGCTACCAACTTTGCCCAGCAAATGCAAGAAAAGATGATGGCCCAGGAAATGGAAGAGCTTGCTGGTGAGCCCCCGACTATTAAGCTCGGTGACGCCTCTGTTGCTGCACCTTTTACTTCCAAGCTTGCCAACGTCGTCGCCATTCCCAACATCATCCGTCAAGGTCGCTGCACGCTTGTTGCTACAATTCAGATGTACAAGATTCTCGCTCTCAACTGTTTGATCTCTGCCTACAGTTTGTCAGTCCTCTACCTCGATGGTATCAAATTTGGCGATGGCCAAGTCACCATCTCAGGAATGATGATGAGCGTTTGTTTCCTCTCCATCTCTCGTGCAAAGACCGTTGAGGCTCTATCAAAGGAACGCCCCCAGTCCAACATCTTCAACACCTACATTATTGGATCCGTGTTGGGCCAGTTTGCCATTCATATCATCACTCTCATCTACGTCAGCCAGTATGTGCAGCGCGTCGAGCCCAAGGATCCCAACCCAGATTTGGAAAAGGAGTTTGAACCATCGTTGCTCAACTCGGCCATCTACCTGCTCCAGCTCATTCAGCAAATCTCTACCTTTGCCATTAACTACCAGGGTCGTCCTTTCCGTGAGTCTATCCGCGAAAACAAGGGCATGTACTGGGGCCTTGTCTCCGTTTCTGGTGTCGCATTCTCCTGCGCTACCGAGTTCATTCCAGAGCTGAATGAGAGGCTTAAGCTGGTTCCCTTTACTACCGACTTCAAGATTATGATCACTACCATTATGGCTTTTGATTTTGTCGCCTGTTACATCATTGAGAAGAGCCTCAAATTCTTCTTCTCGGATAACAAGCCCAAGGATATTGCGGTCAGGCGCCCAGACCAGTTGGAAAGAGAGATTGCAAGGAAGAAGGATGAGGAGCTGCAGGCGCAGAGGAAGAAGAACGAGGAGGCGGTTGCAATGGCTGAGGCCAAGGGGTTGATTAAGCGGTAGACGAGGGAAAGGTTAGAGTCGTGTAGGGGTAATCTAACTAGGTAATATACAAGTATAGATGTCGTTTTCTCCGCTCAAATGTTGCTTTCAATAATTCGTGACTCTATTCGGTTGTGTAAACGGACAGTGTTTGCATTACCACTCAACAAGGCCCGTTGTTCTCTATACGCCAATCACGCTTTACTCGCGCGCGGCTCACAAACCACGAGATAAGGATGAACAGCAGCTACATCAAGTCAGCACAGAATCTCCAAAGACAATACCAAATCACTATCAAACTTACCACTGACAAAAAGCCGTCCAGTCTTGACATCATGTCTCACCGTGGTACTCCCACTCAAAACCTTGGACTCTTTATCCTCAATCACCTTCTCAACCCTATACTCCGCGCTCTCCTTACCCTCCTCACTCCCTATCTTCCGAATACGCCAGATCGTCACAGGCGAAATCTCATTATACGGATCCGAAAACGACTTCCCCGTCTGTGCCAAGCTCGGGAATCCAGCCACGTACAAATCTCCCTTCGCGTCGGGCGAAATGTTGTCGAGCGGCATGCCGACGTTGATAATTTCGAGCAGACGCAGCGTGTAGTTGTTTTGGGGGTCGAGGGCGAAGACGCGGACTTGGCCGTCGATGGCACTGGGGATGTAGAAGAGGTTGTCGGTGCCGCGGGTGAGGCCGTTGGGGAATTTGAGGTGCGGTCTAGGGATTATAAAGCTTAGGAAGCGCTTGAGGTAAGGCATGTATGGGGGTGAGTCTGAGGCGGCGGTGGTTTTGAGGGTTGATTCGTCGACTTCGTTGCCGGAGTAGGCGGGGTGGCAGGGCCCGGTGCCAGGGCAATATGCGATGTTTCCGCCCCCGATGAAGTAGTCGAATTCGCGGCGCTGGGGGAATTTCTGTTCAGCTTTTTCTACCTGCTAGACTGGGAGATTGGAACTTACCAGGCCGAGTTTTACGGAGTGATCGTTGGTCACGAGAAACGCACCGGATCCATCGCCTAACGCTGCAACGCGGTTCGGGGTCCAAATTTCACTCGAGAAGACCGTGCGGACATGGCGCATGGTTTCTTGACCCTTCTTCATTTCGAAAACCTCGATGGTGGAGTTATCGCCCGTCTTGAATGCGTCAATGATGTCGTTGGATGGTCCGACGGGAGGGCGTTGGTTGACAAAATAGAATTGGATAGTGTCATCGTCCAGGATGAGAGCGTCGAAACCGAGGAGATCAAGATCCGTGTTACCCGTGGCTCCTATGTAGTTGCCGGTTGGCTTGATAGAACGGAGATTGAAGAGGCCATCCGCTCCAGGATTATCAATATCTAGGGCGATGAGTTCAGAGCCCCCAGGCCGACGTCCAGTTACATTGACTTGATTCATCCTGCTTCATGTCAGTCCTGATCCTAAGGTATGATCTTGTTTTTCGATTGGAAAATTATGTGACCTACGCTTGGTTCCAAGCCATTCTTCCCGATGTTCCCGCACATGCCGCATACAATGTGCGTCCCTTATCGTCAAGCCAGATATCCTCACAGGCCTCCAGCCTAGGATGCTCGACACGCCTGCAAGAATACGGAAACTCATCTATATCTTGCATCACTCGACCAACACCGAAAGTGGTCACAAGAAGATCTTTGAGGTAAATTTGATAAAAGGATGCTCCCCACGCTACTACGAGAGCGAGGAGCACCGCCTTGCTCATGAAAGCCATGTTCTATTTCACCAGATGTGCAGAAGAAAAAGAGGGAGAAGGTGAGAGGAAAGGAAAACACGAAAAGATGAGGTGATATTTAGAGCTGAGACCTAGCAAGCTCAGCGAAAGTTCAACGCTGTTACCTAGAGAGTTACAGCTATGTCGGGAGGCTGTACATAAGCGGCCAACGCCTCAGCCCCAATCAGACCCTGGTGTGACCCACACATCGTACGTGGGGGCCAAAGCGTCTATCAGGAATATGGTCCATGGCGTCTTTATACGTGTCATGTGACCCGGCGAAGGTTTACAATTGTAACAACAAGAGACTGAGCGGAGATAAAGATGACGGTGCTAGTTGTCGATGATGCCTGACGTCACAGGGTCGCTGAGACATCTCCCGAGGTCCGTTCCGCTAACGCGAGACGATGTCCAAACGCAAAGACTTCAACACTCAACAACGGCAGCCAGATCACAGTTGTTGAATCTCCAAAATGACGAGGTCAGCATCCTTTGATGTGATAGGTACTTGTTTCGGGTTCTCCGCCCCAATCCAAGCCATCCACTCCCGTCTGGGCCCGAAACTCAAGACCGCCGATGTGGACCCAAAAACGCTTTTCTTTTCCTGGTTCTATGCTGCGCAGCGCGACTTTACATATGTATCCATGACCGGATCCTACGTCCCAATTGCGCAAGTCCTGAAATCGACCTTCCGGCGCGCGTGTGCCGTGGTAGATCTACCCACCGATGCTGTTACCGATGAGGATCTAGAGGAGATCATGAAGGCATTCAGGAGCATGGGGCCAAGAGAAGGCCTCAAGGCATGCTTCGATGGGTTGAGGGAAGCTGGGTGGGAAGTCTATGGTGTGACCAACGGCGGATCAGAGACGTCGCTGAATTACTACCACAGCGCGGGTATTGAGCTCGATGCCGACCATTTGCTAAGTTGCGATGCGATACAAGTTGCGAAGCCTGATGTCCGAGTTTATGAGAACGCCAATCAGTACATTTCTAAGAGATTACAAGGGAAAGAGGAAGGGGAAAGGTGGTTTGTTGCAGCGCATGCGTGGGATTTGATTGCAGCGAGGAAGGCGGGGTTTAAGACAGCCTATCTTACACTTGAGGAACACGACCCTTGTACCGACGTGTTTGGGGAATTTGATCTGTACGCGTCCAGCATGGTTGAGTTGCTGCGTAAGCTGGAAGAGCTCAAGTGAAGGGGTCATTAATAGTCGAGCATGACTTAGCTTAGTAGAATGAGCATTTGTACCGTCGTGATTATAGATGGCATGCAGCTGAGGTACTGAACATATAGAGGTTCAAATAAACTCAGTGAGATATCAAAAATATTTAGCTTTTGAAGCTGAGCGCGACTTTACTGCGTTCATTTCTGATGTGGGAAAGTTTCGGTACGTTCCTCAAAAGCTAGGTGGTGATTGTTACAATCTCCGATCTTTTCGGAAGAGCAAACGGGTGGATCCGATATGATGTCAAATGCGGAGAGAGAGGTCACAAAGGCCATTGTGTTTTGACTAGATAGATGAAGAAGAGCGTTGATAAGAAATATAACTACATACTGGTTGTTGTGCCAATAATGCGAAATAAGAGGGGATACGGGGAGTATACGAGGGCTGGAGTAGGAATGGTTCAAACTGATTGTGTCTAGAAGTTGAGAGCTAGTGTGAGAATTGCATAAGTGCTGGAATGACTGTTGGGTACATTTAAAACCGTCTGCTATAATCTAACTACGAGCATAATCAGTGTGTGTCCGCTATCCACTTAGCCACAAGGACTACGATTAGATATCGCTTGCTATTTGATACTTGGTATCAAAATGATAGTTGTCCTTGATTTGTAGCGCAATACATCATTCTCTGGAAAATCGCTCTACTAGAGGTAGTTTGGGCAATGCGAATCATGCAAGGCTATAAAGCTTCGAATTGTGACACGCTTTTGGTGCTCAGGTCGGGAACTTCGGGTGAGCTACAATACGCCTCCAACCACAGTAGCTAGCCACGTATATGTCGATCTTTTCCAGGGATCCAAGTTTCAACATCATTAAGATCAAGCCTGTTTTTCAAAACATACATAATGAAGTCGCTGCAGTGCATGATATGACTCTCCTTGTCGCTCCAACTTTCGAGACGTTTCCCCGTGAACCCAGTTCGAAACTGCTTTCGCCATGTGAACATGCAGTGGGCGACATGCCATTCCAATGTCGAATAATAGTCTTTACCTATTTTTGCATACGTATCAATCTCTGTCGTGTTGATACGGATGTACGAGTGGCTGGGATGTTGTGTAGGATCATCCACTCGTCGGAAATATGGCCACGTCCCATCCGGTTCTGATCCCGAGCTTTCGAATTCGGAAACGATTTCGTCGTCGATACAGCTTCTTGGTAGCCAGTCAACGGCAAGGTGATCGTAAATGCAGCCCATCGCGATGGCCTCTGCATCTGAGGTGCCGCACCAACAGATTGACGGTTTGGAATATGTCTGGATCAGATGGAACAGCCGGGAGGATGCATCGAACATGCCCCAGAGTGCCAGAGGAAAGATAACGGCGAGGAATACACAAGCTGATAGGCTTCGCCTGATGGAAGAGCTTCTCCTGTAACCGTTTTTCGGCTTCTTGTGTATAGGCTCATGATCAAGACTAAGATGTTTGCATTCGTCAAGCTCGTCTAAAAGGCCTACGCTTTGCTCTTGTTCCTAGAGATAAGGCTTAATAAAATCTAAAAAATGTCGACAAATTTCATTTGCAGGAATTTCTTACCTCCGTCATTCTCGGTTTTCCTATACTTCGATGCAAAATCTTAGGGTTCAATCATCGAAGAAATGGAACATTAAGTAGGTTTGAATAGGTTTCTCTTATGACCTGGGACTTCTTATAGTAAAACAACTCTCAATCTGAGTTAACAAGCGGCTAATATTTACTAGACAAATTTCCAGTATAATTATTTGATCGAAGAGGGGTTTTACTAAATTGAACGAAGAATTTGGTTACGTTGGAAGATCTCATTAGATTTTATCTGCGGAAGATGAAATGTAAAGCTTCCCTAACGCTACGTGTTTCCTTCATCTTCATGCGATTAACGGCCTGTTAATTTGTCCGTTTTCGGTACCCGTTTTGTTGCCCTTCCGCGCTTACAGCTTCGGCAAGGGAGGTTAGCTAGCCTCTATCCAGATTAGGATGAAAAGCGGATGGGTTATTCGTCTAGAGTTCCGTTTCATAGTTCATACATAGCAGGCTAGGCCGCTACAACTACCGGCAAAATAGAGTCTCCAGCGAGAGATAGAGGTGACGAACTCTAGGTAAAGAAGAGATTTCTGTTTCGCCTACAATAAAGGGAACATGGAGTTGACCAGCACTAAACAGGGCCGATACTAATAGGCGAGCGCTAACACAACTGAGCCCTGTCTAGTGGCGTCTGGATGTATCTCTTACCAAACCCGACGCTACATCCGTATTCGGTTTTTTAACGGAGCCCCGATCTTGTACAAGATATAGAAAAGCAGACATGGCCGAAAAGTCCCTTACTGAACGCAACGTGGTTTCCGCCTCCGGCATCTTGACGGAACCCGGATCGGGTTTAGTAGACGCAAAACGGAGACGGAGATGAATGGGCCTTTGGAATGAATTTTGGAAGGTGTTGCGAATTTTGATTGCATCGTGCTGGACAATCATGCAGGCCGGTGCCCGAACGACAAGTAACGTGACGGATAAGCGAGTCGGTCAGGCAAGCGAGTCGGTCACCCTACCAACTTTGCGCACCCACCACACCTTTGCCTACAATGCCTCCAAGCCACGCTTCTCAGTCAATTTCTCACGAGGCAGATATTCAGCTTGCTCT